AGGAAATCCAAATGGCCAACAAGCACATGAAAAAATGTTCAAGTTCACTAGCAATCAGGGAAATGCAAATCAAAACCACAATGAGGTTTCACCTCACCCCGGTTAGAATGGCTCACATTCAGAAATCTACCAACAACAGATGCTGGCGAGGATGTGGGGAAAAAGGGACACTAACCCACTGTTGGTGGGACTGCAAACTGGTCAAGCCACTATGGAAGTCAGTCTGGAGATTCCTCAGAAACCTGAAGATAACCCTACCATACAACCCAGCCATCCCACTCCTTGGAATTTACCCAAAGGAAATGAAATTGGCAAACAAACAAGCTGTCTGCACCTTAATGTTTATTGCAGCTCAATTCACAATAGCTAAGACCTGGAATCAATCTAAATGTCCATCAACAGTAGACTGGATAAAGAAATTATGGGTGATTTAATGCTATAACTAGTACTGAAACAGTATTTTTCACTTTGTGTTTCTATGTGGGTGCAAACTGTTGAAATCTTTACTTAATATATGCTAAACTGATCTTCTATATATAAAGAGAATTGAAAATGAATCTTGATGTGAATGGAAGGTGGGAGGGAGAGGGAAAGGGGAGGGTTGCGGGTGGGAGGGAAGTTATGGGGGAGGAAGCCATTGTAATCCATAAGCTGTACTTTGGAAATGTATATTCATTAAATAAAAGTTAAAAAAAAAGAAATTATGGGACATGTACTCTATAGAAAACTATACAGCAGTAAAAATCAATGAAATCTGGTCATTTGCAACAAGATGGAGGAATCTGGAAAACATCATGCTGAGTGAAATAAGCCAGTCCCAAAGGGAGAAATCTCATATGTTCTCCCTGATCGGTGACAACTAACCGAGCACCTAAAAGGAAACCTGTTGAAGTGAAATGGACACTATGAGAAACAGTGACTTGATCAGCCCTTGATGAAAAACTTATTATTTTATCCCTTTCAGTATTTTTTTTTGTTCTACTTAATACTATTGGTTGAATTCTTTAATTAACACACAATTATTCTTAGGATTTCTTTCTTTTTTATGGTTGAGTAATATTCTGTATTGTATATGTATCACATTTTCTATATCAGTAATCAGTTGATGGATATCTAGGTTGATTCCATATCTTAGCTAATGTTAATTGAACTGCTATAAACATGGGAATGCAGGTAACTCTTTCATATGTTGATTTCATTTCCTTTGGATATATTCTCAGAAGTGGGATAGCTAGGTCATTTGTTAGGTCTATTTTTAGAAAGCAAACATCTTTCTACCAATCCTTCTGTCACTCTTCTGTTTAAAAAATGTTTTTTTTAATCTTCAAAAAAATCTGAAATACCTGCTTGATGCAACCATTATGAAAACAGTATGGAGAGTCCTCAGAAAACTAAAAATAGACCTACCAAATGACCTAGCTATCCCACTCCTGGGAATACATCCAAAGGAAATTAAATCAACATATGAAAGAGTTACCTGCATCTGATATGGGTACTGATTTGTATCCGAGTTTCTCCATTTTTGATCCAGCTCCCTGATGATGGACTAGGAAAGGCAGCGGAGGATGACCCAAATGTTGGATCCCTGCCACTCTTGTTTGAGACTGGAATAAACTCCTGGCTTTGAGCTAGCCCAGCTCTGGCCATTGTAGCCATCTGGGAAGTTAACCAGTGGATGGAAGATCTTTCTTGTCTCTCCCTCTCTGTAGCTCTGACTTTTTAAATAAATAAACAAATTTTTTTAAAAAAGGAAATATCATTCCCAATCTTGCTTATAATGCTTTTTTTAAAGTTTAATGACTAGATCATTTCATCTTTAAAATAAATGTAAATGAAAATACACTTTTCTTTCATGATATCCCACTCCATATATACACTAGTTTATTGAAAGTCTTAAAAATGGCCGGATGCTTGCATTGCAGGCAGCAGTTTTACTTACTGCACCACAAAGCTGGTTCTCGGATTGATATTTCACAAACAGTTGACTCCTCACATGTCAACTTCATAAAATACTGGTACTCGTATTCTAATTTGAAAGGAAGTTTGGTGTACGTTTTTTATGTTTAATTAGGAAAATAGCATTTTTTTTTCCCTGAAAAAAATCAGCTTGACAATGAACTGGCCAAATTCTGCAAGCCAGCTTTCTTTTTCAATAGTTGGAACATGCTTCTCTTACATAGAACATTCTTCTGTGTGTACTCCAACACCTCAGGGAGAGATGGGCTCTCCTTGTGTGTTAATACTTTGTGTAGGCCTTTGCCAGAGCCCTACCTAGATTGCATCCTTGTTTGTTAACCTTCACTTGACTATGAACTGCTTAGAATGCAAAATTGTTTTGTACTGATCTCTGTTTTCTGCCTCACTAGGTGTAGCTCTGTGATGCAGGGACTAACAAATGTTTTCAAAGAAAAGTAATTCTCATGAACTTGCTTGTTTAGCCTTACACATTCAGTGTATTAAATATTTGTGATAGATTATGACTTAGGCTAGACCCTGGGAAAACTGTGGTGAAAGGACCAGTGAAGTTCTTGTGCTCACTAGTCTTATGATCCAAAAGAAAAGATAGGCCTTGATTCAAGTTGATACAGTAATGATGATGAAAGCTATTATAGGGAGCATGGAATTCTGGGAGACCTGTGTTAGTAATGAGGGTTTAAAGCTTCCCAGAGGAGGGGATGTTTAAGTTGGGACCAGAAGCATGAGTTGAAGCCAGGTGGAAAGGTTTGATACACTGTTTGGGGGTTGGTGGTGGTACAAGGGTAAATCTAATAACAGGAAGTTAACTTACAGCATTGTAAGTATTTTGGAGTGACTTTTCTCTTCCAAACAGTATTACCTGTCTTGCTTTTCATGTTACCTTAATGAGAAAAAAAACTGTAATAGTCATTTAAATGATGTTTCTCTGAGCATAGCTCTTTTGCAAGTTGTTCAATATTCCAACATTTTTAGCATTAAAAACATATAGTTATTTTTAATATGTTTTGTTTTAGTATGTGAAGTCAAAGTGTTCTACAAGTCTGTTGTAACTTTTGAATTCAGAATCACAGCAAGAAAAGATAATCTTGTGCAGATTCATCTGCTCTCTAAATTTTGGGATCAATTTAGTTTTTCAGTCTCCTTTCAGCAGTTTTGGATTGCAGAGCAGGACATAAAAATCACCCTTTTTATATCTCTTAGAAATTTCTTGAAAAATCATAGCTAATACTTGTTGAATGCTTTCCATGTTGAAACTGTACTAATATATGATAAGAACTATCTCATATGAACATCCCAGAAATCCTGTTAGATAAGTAATATTTTTATCCCTTCCCAATAGATAAGGACACTGAAAATCCATGCAACCAGAATTAGAAAATTAGATATAACAATTTGATCTCAGAAGTGTCTGTGAGTTTAGAGTTTCTAACTTGGTATTGCTTAAAGAGAACTAAATGAGACCTGTTAGCATGTTGAGAAAGCATTAGACGCTCCTTACAGGTTTTGTCCATTATAAGAAACAACTGTTTTATTTATACTAAAGTTTACAAATATGAAAATTAAAATATTTGTGAAGTAGATAAGATAGACCCTTTCATTTATTGGGGAATGACTATGATTTGGTAAAATTGTTCGCAATACAATGGTATTTCACAAAATTTGTTGAAAAATGGAATTAAAAGAAGCTTATTTGAATGTAAAGGGAGTCTCTTAACTGGAAACTTTTAAAAACAAATGAGCCGGGCTGGTGCTGTGATGTAGCATGTTAAGCCCCTACCTGCAGTGCCTGCATCCCATATGGGCACCAGCTCAAGACCCGGCTGCTCTACTTCTTGATCCAGCTCTCTGCTATGGCCTGGGACAGCAGTGGAAGATGGCCCAAGTCCTTGGGCTCCTGTACCCACATGGGAGAAACGGGAGAAGCTCCTGGCTCCTGGTTTCAGATTGACTCAGCTCCAGCCATTGCGGCCAATGCCTTTCCTTCTTTGTGTAACTCTGATTTTCAAGTAAAGAAATAAATCTTCAAAAAATTATTTAAAAAAAAAAACCAAATGAGTTTTATATTAATTTTATAATAAAATGTATTTAAAATGAAAAGAGCTTTAAAAAAGTGGATATGATATTTTTCTATCAATTGTATACTATGAGGTAGTAGTATTTTTGAAACTAAGCTTAGGATATTGTTTCTTTTAAAAATTTTATGTATTTATTTGAGAGGTTGAGTTACAGACAGTGAGAGGAAGAGACAGAAAGAAAGGTCTTCCTTCTGTTAGTTCACTCCCCAACTGGCTGAAATGGCCGGAGCTATGCTCACCTGAAGCCAGGAGCCAGGAGCTTCTTCCTGGTCTCCCATGTAGGTTCAGGGTCCCAAGCACTTGGGCTATCTTCTACTGCTTTCCCGGGCCATAGCAGAGAGCTAGATTGGAAGAGGAGCAGCTGGGACTAGAACTGTTGCCCATATGGGATGCTGATGCCGCAGGCAGAAGATTAACCTACTGTGCCACGGCGCCAGCCCCAGGATATTGTTTATTCATTACATTGATATAGGTTAAATCTGTCTTTGTTAAAATTTTATCGTAGAGGTGCTTTCTCATTTTCTTGAAGGCTAGCTCTTTTCTAACTTCCACTAAGTCAGAAAGTAGAAAATAGCTCGATGAAGATTTACTTCATTTTTGTAAACAGAGTTGTTTATGATTGAAGTTTTAGTGATGAAACCTTTCACAGTAAATGAGATTCAGCAAGTGCAAAAGTTGACAGCCATTTTACTGGATGCTGCTAGTCAGTTGAGCACAATATTCTTGCAGGAAGATGGTATCATGCTTTAATTCGAGAGAATTTATCAAAAACAAATGTCAGTTTGAAACTTTATTGTTTATTAAAACACAAATTTAGTGTCAATTGATAATATTTTAAAATTATGCTTAGTCATGGAATACACTTGGAATTAGAATGGCTAATGAATGCTGAAATAAGCATAGTTGAAACTTAAAGTATAGCTTATTTTTTGGGGTTGTATTTTTCAGGTAAAGCTTTGAAGGTATCAGCTGAGCAATTCACAGATGACCCCTGTCATCTCCCAAAAAGGGAGGCTGTTGTTCAAGCGGCACGTGCCTTGTTGGCTGCAGTAACTCGACTTCTTATCCTTGCGGACATGATTGATGTCATGTGTCTTCTGCAACACGTGTCCACCGTAAGTAAAAGATGACTTAGTTTACCTTGGCATTGTTCTTGCTTCCAATTCCATTCTCTGAGCCTGGCATCAATCCTGCTGCATCTTGGCCTCATCCTCATCTTTTAATATCACTCATCAGAAGCTTGCCAAATTGGGTTGTGAAGACTAATGTATACTTCAAAGAATGAAGCCAGAAGTGAGTCTTAGAGCCGCTGGAAAACTGAGTAACAGAAGATGGCTTACTGATAACAAAGTGACTAGGAGAAACTTACAAGCTTTTGACCATTTAAATTATTGTGCCCCATATACATATGAATAAAAACATAGCATAATTATATGGATACTATATGATAAATATATACTTATAAATAATTTGCGTAAGAAATCTTCAAGCTTACAATGTTTTGAAGTTTACCTTAGTTTGTAAATGAATGCTACTTTGCCAGCTCCTTGTGATCCAGGATAAATAGTGAATGTTTATGGTTCAGTTGTGATGTCTAGGGTAATCTATTATGAAAATGTATACATAGGTTTAAATGAGTGAATAATATATTTCAACTAGGAGGATACAAAAATAGCAATATATGCAGCTTGCTTTATTTTACCAAACAAGTCCATATCATAGTTTTAGTAGAAAATTTCATTAACATCTTTTTATTAAACTTTCTGTATTTGTTTAGTTTGATGAAGTCATTAATAGTGTCCAGATGAAAAGGTTGCAAATTCTTGAAATCTCTTGTATTTCTTGCTTTAAAAGTACTCCATTTGACAACTGATGACCTTATTTGATTGACCTGCTTGTCAAAATAATTTATTCTACTTGCTGAGCTAAACCTTTCTTTGCATCTCACTCATAATCACTATCACTTACTTTAACATTTAGAGTGGGCCTTCCATTGTACTTTCATCTTTTTATCATTTTACTACTATAAAAATAATTCAATGCTTTTTAACTCTTGTGACTTAGTTATTTGGTGAATAACCTTAGAAAAATTTCTGAACTTTTATGAGATCATTTTTATCACACGTGATACAGATACTAGTTAATTCTGTAGACCAGAAATGAGTATGAAAGGTTCTGTTTCAGACTTGACTTGTTGAGATAGGACCAAATGAATGGCTTTTGTAAGGTGAAAATGGATACCTATGTAATCAGGAGGTAACTATATATATATATATATTATATATATATACACAAATATATGTATATATACATATATATGTATATATGCAATATATATAAATGTAATATATATATTTAATTTAATATATATGTAATATATATATGTAAAGAACATAACCAGCTTCATTACCATTTTAATTTAATGCCCTCTGAGTTGGGCACAGTGGTAGGCAATTCACACACATCATGTTGTTCAAATGAAGCAGGGGGATATTTGTAGATCAAATAAATGCAGAGTTCTACCTGCTGCAATAAAAATTATAGTTAACCTTTATTGAATATTTTACAATGCGCCAGGTACTGTTTTGGTGTATCTCCTTTAATTCAGTCCTCATTATAGCATTATGATTATGATTCCTGTCTTACAGAGGAGGAAACTGTGGCCCATTAAATTTAAATAACTTGCTCAAGACAACAAGAAAAAATAACACTTTTGGAACTTTTTTTTAAATTTTTTTTATTTTTTTTTGCTTTCAAACTTTTATTTAATGAATATAAATTTCCAAAGTACAGAATATGGATTACAATGGCTTCCCCCCCAAAACGTCCCTCCCACCCGCAACCCTCCCCTTTCCCACTCCCTCTCCCCTTCCATTCACATCAAGATTCATTTTCGTTTCTCTTTATATACAGATCAGTTTAGCATACATTAAGTAAAGATTTCAACAGTTTGCTCCCACACAGAAACATAAAGTGAAAAATAATAGATGATTTTTTAAATGATGATGAAATCAGATCAGACCTATTGTCATGTTTAATCCCAGTGAGAGTCAAGTTGGGAGTTGATAATTTCTTTTTTCTTTTCTTTTTTTTTTTTACAGAAGATCAGTTTAGTATGCATTAAGTAAAGATTTCAACAGTTTGCACCCACATAGAAACACAAAGTGAAATATATTGTTTGAGTACTGGTTATAGCATTAAATCTCAATGCACAGCACATTAAGGACAGAGATCCTACATGAGGAGTAAGTGCACAGTGACTCCTGTTGTTGACTTTACCAATTGACACTCCTGTCTATGGCATCAGTAATCTCCCTATGCTCCAGTCATGAGTTTCCAAGGTTATGGAAGCCCCTTGAGTTCTCCGACTCTTATCTTGTTTAGACAAGGTCATAGTCAAAGTGGAGGTTCTCTCCTCCCTTCAGAGAAAGGTACCTCCTTCTTTGAAGACCTGTTCTTTCCACTGGGATCTCACTCACAGAGATCTTTCATTTAGGTTTTTTTTTTTTTTTTTTTTTTTTTTTTTTTGCCAGAGTGTCTTGGCTTTCCATGCCTGAAACACTCTCATAGGCTTTTCAGCCAGATTGGAATGCCTTTAGGGCTGATTCTGAAGTCAGAGTGCTGTTTAGGACATCCGCCATCCTGAGTCTGCTGAGTATTTCGCTTCCCATGTTGGATCACTCTCCCCTTTATTTATTCTATTGGTTAGTATTAGCAGGTACTAGACTTGTTTATGTGATCCCTTTGACTCTTAGTCCTTTCATTATGATCAATTGTGAACTGAAATTGATCACTTGGACTAGTGAGATGGCATTGGTACATGCCACCTTGATGGGATTGAATTGGAGTCCCCTGCTATGTTTCTAACTCTACCATTTCGGGCAAGTCAGCCTGAGCATGTCCCAAATTGTACATCTCTTCCCTCTCTTATTCCCACTCTTATGTTTAACAGGGATCACATTTCAGTTAAATTTCAACACTTAAGAATAACTGTGTATTAATTACAGAATTAAACCAGTCATATTAAGTAGAGCAGACAAAAAAAAACTACTAAGAGGGATAATGTATTAAGTTGTTCATTAACAGGGCTATGCTGATCAAGTCACCGTTTCTCATAGTGTCCATTCCACTTCAACAGGTTTCCTTTTTGGTGTTCAGTCAGTTGTCACCAATCAGGGAGAACATATGAGATTTGTCCCTTTGGGACTGGCTTATTTCACTCAGCATGATGTGTTCCAGATTCCTCCATTTTGTTGCAAATGACTGGATTTCATTGTTTCTTACTGCGGTATAGTATTCTAAAGAGGGAACTTAGTACTCTAAAAGTTAGAATAGCTTTAACTACAAATAGCTTTTAGAAATGTGTAGATGAGTTCATAGGCTTATAACAGGTTAATAAATGAAGCTGAGTGTGTCAACATCTTTCATTTTTAAAAATGAGTTATTTTATTTATTTGAAAGGCAGAGTGACATGGGGGAGATAGAGAGAGAGAGAGAGAGAGACTGACTTGTTGGTGCCTTAACAGAGCCTGTATTGAGGGTAGATGATTTAAGTTGTTTATGCTGCTCCTCCGCACGTGGAGGAGCTGCACCGGACCGGACGCTTGTTGTTCCCCTTTTTTACAAGTCTTTTCTATAGTAAAGTAAGAATAAGTAAACAGCGAACTCCCAAAGCAAGAATGAGTAGAGAGAAATGAGAAAGAACGAAGCAACGAACTTCCCCGCGAACTCTCCAATGCACTCTCCAACCAACCCACACCACCATGCCGTCTCTCTCCTCCTATATAGTCCTCTCCACCAATCCGTGCTCTGCTACCCACACGCTGAGAATGCTGCTCTCCTCCAATCAGGAGCAGGTCCTGCTGTTTATTGGTTGAACTGGAGGCAGCTGTGTAGAAGCTGTTTCCTCCTCTCCCAGCGCCACATTGTGGGAGAGCAGATGCATAGAATAAGTCTTAATTCGAGTAACAGTCTAGTCCGAGTTGCTCCCCACAGTTTATTAGCTTGTAGACCACAACAATGATACTTCATCTATGAAAAAGGAAGTGGAATCTTATTAAAGAGAATGGAAGAACTTTTGTGGTGAATTTTGATTTCTCAAAATGATTTCATCCTTAGGAAACATTAACATATACAGTGGCCTTTCATATCCACAGGTTATGCAGATTCAAACCAACATGGATTGAAAATATTTGAAAAAAAATTGCCTCTCTACTGAACATATATGGATATTTTTGTTATCGTTATTCCTTAGGAATATAATAACTACAAATTATTTAGATTATATTAGGCATTATAAGTAATCTAGAGATGATTTAAAGAGAATAGGAGTATGTATGTAGTGTATGTAGGTTACATGCACATGATCTAACTTTTTTTTTATAATGGATTCGAACATTTGCAGAGTTTGGTATCTGTTGAGATCCCCATTATACTGAGGGATGCTTGTATATGAATTATATTATCAACTCAGCTCTTTCAAGGTTTCATATAGAAGAAGATACCTAATATGTTTTTGAGATAATCAAGATTTCAATGATTTAGCCTAGCATTTCCAAAAATCTATTTTATAACCTGTCCTATAACATTTTTAATTTGAAAGGTTTTTTTAATAGTCAATGTTGAAGCAGAAATTCTCTGAATTTTTTTGACCCATCTTACCACATTAAGGTTCTTTGCTGATTGTGCTGGCACTGTGGCATAGCGGATAAAGCCTCTGCCTGCAATGCTAGCATCCCATATGGGCGCCGGTTCAAGTCTCAGCTGCTCTACTTCCCATCCAGCTCTCTGCTATGGCCTGGGAAAGCAGTAGAAGATGGTCCAAGTCCTTGGCCTCCTGCACCCTTGTGGGAAACCTGGAAGAAGCTCCTGGCTCTTGGCTTCGGATCAGCGCAGCTCCGGCCATTGTGGCCAACTGGGGAGTGAACCAGTGGATGGAAGACCTCTCTCTCTCTCTGCCTCTCTTTCTCTCTGTATAACTTGGACTTTCACATAAATAAATCTTTAAAAAAATTCTTTGCTGAGAAATATTGTAGCAAAGAACCTTATGTAACCTTGTTTAAACCAGAGTTTCCCAAAATGCTTTTTGACCCTAGAAATCTTCTATAATATATTA